CTGATCAAGGGCGAATAGAAAAAAATAAAGAAGAAATCCTTAAAGCCTTCCAAGATTCTCCGTCAGCGGTTGTCTTATTTGTGTGGTCAAATATCAACGGACGTGTGCAGACCAATGATGCTATAGCGTTCGACGCCCTCAGTCAAGCCATCGAATTTCCACGTGGATCGCTCATGTTTGTCGTCAATGATATACCTGTAAGAAGAGAAGCTGATTATGAAGCAAAATTTGTAGTCAGAATAAGAGACATGTTGAAAGAAATGCCAGTTACGCTGAAAGATATATTTTTTATTGATCACATGGAACCTGAAGAAACAGACAAGATTAAACAAAGTCGTTCAAAGCTAATAGCGTTTATCGAGGCACACGAAATAAAGATTCAAAAGATTATAGGTCCTATAATTCTTCTCGCGGATCAATTGCGTGCATTACAGAAAAAACTCAGGGAACAAAGTGAAGCGGCTGAAAAAGACAAGGTAGGCTTTCAAAATGAGATTCGGATCATGGCAGAAAAACTCAAGGCAGTAGAGGATCGTGGTCCTTTGGAAATTATTGGACGAAGCATAGATAAATTCTTCTCAAGTCTTTTTTAACCGATTAAACCGACATCAAAAGCAGTAAACTTGTTATCACACTTTTTTTGAGAAAGGACAGGGGCGCATAAGAAGCCGATTTGGCCCATAGGATATTTTCAGTCATTTTATCGCCTATCCTATGTGGAAAAATATGGTGATTCTTTTGGTAATAATTTCAAGTCAAGCTGTGAGGATTATAAGCTATTTTGAGGGAGAATACCTGCAAAAAAGTATTGAAGTTTCATTGGGCTCATAGTTGTTTGGTATTAGCTCAAAATATACGACTTTTAGGCAACATTTCAGGCTCAATCTATATTGGTTAGAAAGAGCGTTTAATACTGCATCGTTTCATATAAAAACTAATATTATTTCATTAAAGATTTAATCATGGAAAATACTGTCCTTCCACAGGAGTATTATTCAATACTTCACATCCGAACAATAATTAGAGCTGTTTTGACATATTTTTACGTGTAATCCAAGCTCTTTTACATACCAATCGATAGAGCAAAGAAAGAGCACCAAATTGATACATAACTGATTTGATTTCAACATGGGCACTATATCGAAAGTGTGCATGAATTGTTCTGGAGCAAGAAAAGTACACTTTTCTGCTCATTATTGAGTAAATTTGATAAGAATAATTCGACTTTTGATAAATGAAAATGGCATATTTGAAATCAGCATGAAAAACTGAGTCGATCCATATAGTTTTGAAAATTTTCTGAGTACTTTTATTTTCCTCCAAAAATTCAGCTGGGGTCCCCCTCAGGGTTAGGTCAAAAAAATGAAATCCATTAAAACAGTGTTTTTATTTATTAGTCATTTGTGTTTTTTAATTTTCTTAACTTTTAAGAACTGCAGAACTTGTTTTTCACAGTCCGAATGGCGTTTCAATCGATTTCATTTTTTGACCTAACCCTGAGGGGGACCCCAGCTGAATTTTTGGACGAAAATAAAAGTACTCAGAAAATTTTCAAAACTATATGGATCGACTCAGTTTTTTATGCTGATTTCAAATATACCATTCTCTTCTATCAAAAGCTGAATTATTCTTATCAAATTCGCTCAATAATGAGCAGAAAAGTGCACTTTTTGTGCTCCCAAACAATTCATACACACTTTCGATATAGTGGCCCATATTGCAAACAAATAAATTATGCATCAGTTTGTAGCTCTTTCTTCGCTCTATCAATTGGCATATAAAAAGGCTTGGCTTACACGTAAAAGCATGTCAAACAGTTCTAATTATTGTTCGGATGTGAGGTACCGAAGCATACTCCTGTGAAAGGACAGTATTTTCCATGATTAAATCTTTAATGAAAAAATATTAGTTCTTACATGAAACGATGCAGAATTAAATGTTCCTTCTGACCAATATAGATTGAGCTTGAAACATTGCCTAAAAGTCGTATATTTTGAGCTAATACCAAACAACTATGAGCCCAATGAAACTTCAATACTTTTTTGCAGATATTCTCCCTCAAAATAGCTTATAATCCTTACAGTTTGACTTCAATTTATTACCAAAAGAATCACCACATTTTTCCACATAGGATAGGCGATAAAGTGACTGAAAATATCCTATGGGCCAAATCGGCTTCTTATGCGCCTCTGTCCTTTGCAACAACAAGCAAGTAGTAAGATAGAAAATATTCAAGCACGTGCAGCTTGTTTTATAACTTATAGGTGGATATGTAAAAGCAGATATAATAATAAAAGATGAAAGAAAAAGAAATCATATGAAAAAGTAACTGTTTTTCGTACGAGGATGCTTATAGTTTATCTCTGTCATATAAATTCAAAATAAAAAATTTCTTTTTCTTATCAAACATTGAAACTCGAGCTGCCTACATTAAAATAGTTTTTTATGCATTTCTATTTTTATTGGCGTTCTATATGAGTAATAAAACATATCTTATGATCTTATCTCATGTTATCTTGTTACTTCACTTTACTTATTGTTTTTCTTTCTATACTAAAAAAGCATGAACTATTCATCTAAATCTTTTACCCACGCTTCTCAGTTATTATATAACTATTGAAAACTCAACTGTGTTTCTCTTTTATCGTTTCAAGTAGCTATAGTACAACTGATTATATAAGGTATGTAAATAGTGGTTCATCTGTAAAGCAGAATCTTTCTCAGGATTTGGCAATCATTTGTAATCATAGTTTCTCGGATAGTAAGTGCGCTGTTGTTGTAGAATGTTTGATTTATCAATGGATGATACTTCCGTGTTCTGATGTATCTAAAAACAGTGTCTTCCACATGATAAGAATGGTTTCGTGCAAATCAGATGATCTCCATTAAGTAGTGAAGGTTGTATTTCTTGTATCATAGCTTCTAAGACATTTTTCTTTAAATTATGATTTAATAGTTATTAACCCTGCAGTAGATTCAATCGGATTTTTAGAGTTCTATTAATCTTAACCAGTAATAAAATTTTACATTAATCAGAGAAAAGAATTAATATTTTTGATTACAAATTTCTATAGACTGAAGACAGAATTCTTTATTTGACTTTCCATCGATCTGAACAGTATTCGTACTAAAAACTAGTCTTAGCATAATAAGATTATACAACCAACAATAGACTCAATTTTACTAAAAATTTCTTTGAAATTATTTGTGTTAAAATAATGTCATGAGCGTCAAATTCTTATGGAAATGTGTAAGATGTTTTTTTTTATTATAAATCATTTCCGTTTATTACAAACATAATAAGATGAACATTTCTAAAAAAAAAAAAGAATATTATAAATGTACAATGCCATCTTAAAAATAAACAATAAATATTTATCAAGTGAGTAAAAGATTCTATTTAGTATTGTTTATCACCTAAAATATTTCAATCTTAAGAAAATTTAGTGAGATCTTGTACGGAGTCAAACTTGTAACATAGTACTAATACATGAAATTCAAATAGAATCTTTTTTTAAAAGATCGTCAATTATTTTTTGAAGTTTTTTTTTTATTAAAAACAAATTCAAAAAATCCTGCCAGATATTGGTTGATTCTTGTTCATATCCTACTAGTTCTCAGAAAAATAATATGAGATAAGAATTCACTATTATTAAACATCAATTGAAAGGAAAGTGAACAACAAGAAATAACTTTACGTTGACGTTTTTTCTTTGAGTAACTAAACCATGATCCTTCATTTATTAGGATGATATATATTAGTAGAAACAAAAAAACGAGCCCAGACCTGTAGAATTCGAATTCAAAATTTAATTTAATGTCGGGTTTGTTGCCGAATTCGAATTCGGATCCATAAGTATAGGAATCCACATCACCCTAGTTCCAGGGCTGCAAATATGTTGAAATTGATGTTACCTTCAATGAGTCCGATCAGTCAGGCAACTAATTTTTTTCTTTTTAGTTATTTTTAGAAAAAAATCTATTTTCTATATCAAATACCAACATGATCATCAGTAAAAGATTTTATGGAGAAAAAGAAAAAGATTCAATATTTTTGTTTTACTTCCTACATTGATTTATTCTATCGAGAAAAAATATAGATGTATTTTAAATTTTACAAGAAAAATAAGAGATAGTCTTTATTTATACACAGACACATATATATATATATATAATTATATCTATTGATCTTCAGCAACATAATTAGGATGCACAATAAGATAAAGATTATTTCCTTCGGGATCTTCATTATCTTCTTCTTCTTCTTCAGTTGCTGTACTATCTTTAGGTTCAGTTGCTACACCAAATTGACTAACAGTACGTTTATCAAGTTGAATAAGAATTTCATCAACATGTACAAGACGATCAATAATTTTATCTAAGGTTGCTTTTTTTCGTGCTAATTCATCAAGACTATTTATTTCATCAGCTAATTGTTCAAGTACCCAATTAATAAGTTCACGTCGTTTAACACCAGGCATAACAACATTTGTACCACTTGTTTGACTTTCTGTTTCTTGTTCTTCATCCATTCTACGTAATTGATAAACCATCATATTTGTTAAACGTTTATATTCATCAACAGATATTTTCGTTTCTTCCTTTGTTCGTGTTGTTTCTTCTTCTACTTCCATATTTTCATCTGGTACAGCTGTTGGTCGATTATATTCATTAAGATCAATATCTGGTTGATCAACATGTATAATTGCTTTACTTAAAAGTCGATAAGCTTCTTGTACATGTTTTATATCAATATCTTCTTGACAATACATTTTAGCAATAGCTTCAGATAAACGAATTAAACTTTCTAATTGACGAACAGTTATTGGTGTTGATGATGATGATATACGACCTGTACTTGATGACGATGTTTCACGTAAACGTAATTGTTTATAAAGTGTTATTATATGTTCTTTAGCAGCCGAAGTTAATTTCGGTTGAACAGCTGCTTTAGCATAAGTAATATAATCTCGAATCTCATTAAATGTATACGAAGTCATAAGTGAAGGAACTGATGAACGAGTTCCAGATGTATGTAAATCAATAATACGTTCAGCAATATTATAATCAGTTACATCATTACATTCATCCACCACAATAAAGAATAAATCGAAACGAGACCTAAAATGAAAAGATCAAAGATTTATAATCGGACACACAAAAAAAAATTGTTTCCATTGTCTGCTCTTTTTTTGTACAAGAAACATCAAAATAATTAATTGTTTTATTTAAATAGTTTTGTATTGATCAAACGTATGATTCTATTTTAATCACAAGTTGTTTTCAATGAAAGACATATAAAAATTCTTTAGCCGTATGACTTTGCAAAAATTTACGTGTATCTTGAGATAATGAACTTTCATAGAGCTAACTTTTTTGTTATATGCGTGTGAAGTTACTCTAGATGCCCTGAAAAATTCAGCGCACGAGACATTTGTTCATAGAAAATATCGGTACAAATACATAAGCTACATAAATCCTTCTTCGAAATTTTTACATGGTAGTAAGACAAAAATGTATCTTTCAGGAATTCAAAAAATCTCTAAAAAGGCGATTTCTTTGAAGGTAAACTTTTTTCAAGTCCGATCTTCCTAAAGATTTCACCATAGGTGCGATTCATACTGAAGAGTGTATTCTAATGCTTTTCTTGTATTCTTAGAAGAATATTCACTAATTAATTTTTAACCAAGTCATCTGAAAGCAGAGATCAAATGAGTAACGCTCCGATCTGGCGATGTTTTCTTTTTCGCTTTTGATATTTCATAGAGAATCCATAATAAAACTTTGTTGAAAGTTGACTACATCACAGATCACTATTAACAAGTGAAATAGAGTACAACAACTAGTCCATTCAATGTAAGTATCAATTTCTCGCTGTAGGAACTAACATTTGTTAATGTCTTTCAGTTTTATAATCTGAACAAGCTTCTACAAAACGAACTGTATATTTTTCAAAGATTCTATTTCAACTTGTAGTGTTTTTCGATAAAAATCTGTTCTTTTAATGCCATGTTCCTTAACGTACATCTGTAACATAAAAATTAACTGAAAGAAATTCTTATGTCTTGTATATTATTGATTAAAAAAACTTACATAATTGGTGCTGACATATTAACATTATGTCTCAATGATCGTGTTTTATCATAACGTCCAGCAATAGGATTAGCTGCTGCTAAGATTGATGTTCGTGCATTAAGTGTTGCTTTTATTCCTGCTTTTGTAATACTAATTGTTTGTTGTTCCATAGCTTCATGAATAGCTACTTGATCTTTTGGATCCATTTTATCAAATTCATCAATACAGCAAACACCCTAAATTAAATAATTCTTAGAAAAACTAAGACAAAAAAAAAAAAACTATTTCGTTTTTACATTATCAGCAAGCATAAGTGCGCCAGCTTCAATGACAAATTCACTTGATTCTTCATCTTTAACAACAGCTGCCGTTAGACCAGCAGCTGTTGAAGCTTTACCACTTGTATAAACAGCACGTGGTGAAAATTCTGAAACTTGTCTTAAGAAAAACAAAAATGTAATTGTCTTAATTGATCAAATAAAAATCTGTTATTTTTTTTTTTCTTTACTTTAAAAATTGTGATTTTGCTGTTGATGGATCACCCACAATACAAATATTAATATCACCACGTAGACTTGTTTTTTCAAGTGTTCGTTTTGGTACACCACCAAATAACATTAATAAAATACCTGATTTAATTTCATCATTACCATAAATTGTTGGAAAAAGACTTGTACGTAAATTAGCAAAAAGATTCTTATCGGACATCATTGTTTCAATACGTTTCTTTTTGGAATCTGAACTTAATAATGTTTCAACATTTGTTTGTTCAGCTGGTGTTATATGACAAGCAAGAAATGCTAAATGATATGTTAAATCACGTACACCAAGTGCTTTTAAACCACGTACACCTTCAGCATTAAATCCTTTATCATCTGAACCTTGTGTACGTTGTGCACTTTCAGCACGAACACCAGGCATTGATAATTGGCTTACATCTGGTAGAACAATTAATGTACCAATAAAATCACAACGATCACCTGGTTTAGCTTGTTCAACACATTCATTACGCATAATTATATCAAGACAACGTGGAATATTTCCATGTGGTAATTCAGATTGACTTTCTTGTATGCGTACTTTTTGAAAATCAACAAATCGTGAACGTGTTAAATCTAATGCAAAATGAACACGATTATTACAAACAGGATTGCGACACATTAATGGTTGTGTAAAACGAAATTGTTGTTCAATATCTGGACAAACCATTTGACAATCAGAACATATAAATGTGGCTGAAACTAATTCAGGATGAACAGGATATGTTCGAATAACTTGACCAGTTATACGAATTAACATGCCCAATTTTGATGTATTCAAATTACGGAGTCTAGAATGAATTCAAAAAATTATTTTCTTTTCTCAATCAGTAACAACGATACTTATGCCTTTTTCCATCTCGTAAAACGAATACATTTAGGCTTCTAGAGAAGCATTTTACTCTATCATATAGTCAGTAGAGATGAGAGCAGTTCACTTTCGAATCGAACCGATGCAATTTCTGGTAGGTCAGGGGTGTCCTGAACCGGATGCAAACTTCCAATCGAGGAACATTTTCATTTCATCTAGCCAAATTAAATCATTTTCTTTGTTTTGGCTCAGTGTAACAAGGTTGGATCCCCGTGGAAATATTGTATGCATTATCAAATTCTACTGTTTTATTTGCTTACACGACGATAGGTGAGCCCATCTATTGCTAAATCAACAGTACGGAGTTGACCTTGATAAGACATACATCGTTAGATACAAGAGTCTTATATGTATTCTATTTCTACAATCGTCTTAGTAAACATAAATTCTGTATTGTTAGGCATGGTGAATTGAACTTTGTCCGACAGTAAAAGCTGTCAGAATAAAAATTAAACAAAGAGTGATATTCTGAAGTGTGTGACTTCAGGGAAGACATATCCTTATCTATATTGAAAATTGCCGCTGTTGCGACGGTTTTCAAGAGATTCTTCGAAAATCTCGTCCATCACTCCACTAAAATAATACTTATTTTGACTTCGTGAGATTCATGGGGACTGACTATGAGCCTTGTAAGCAGTCCAATAGAGTGGAAATTCAAACAATTTTATAGTCTGTCTGAAAAAGAGGCTGCGATTGTTACAGTAGTATTTTTCAAACATCCTGCGCAGCACCATAGACACCTGCCATTCAAAAGCTTGTCCCAAGAGTTTCAGGATTTGTAGATTTCCTATCTTCAAGATGCAAACTATACAAATTCTCAGTCTCTTCATATAAACCATTGTATATGAGACCTTAAACGCAATTTTTTTTTTGAAAATTCTTAAGTCTTACTGGCACCTCTGACCAAAATAGACATTTTCAAAATTCAATAAGTTCGTGAAATCTCAATAGAAATAAAATCTTTTAGCGTTTTCATCTAACTCCTATATAAAACCTATTGACCAAAAACTAATTGAAATCGCAAAGGAATGTCTTCCTTGTGAGTAATTTTCCAATAGAAAGAGTTATACGACATGACTAGAGAAATACCTATCAATTGCTATACTTCATAAATCTACAAAAACAATTCCCGTATAACGTACTTATAACGCATTTGAACATCACTAAATGCCACATAAAGTTCTTTATCATTTAAAACCGTTCGTTTAAATCGTTCAAGTTTTTCCGCTTCCATTTCAATTTTTGGTAAATGTTCACGAAAAAATTGTTTAAGACCACGAGATAAAGCTGGTAAAAGTCTATTAATAAAGAATAAAAAAAAAAAACAATTCGATCAAACTATTTTTAATAAATTTCTGCGTACCGATAATATTCATCTTGAATAACACGTGCTACTCGATCATTAAAATTAGATAAATGTCGATAATTAATTAATACCGTTGAACGTTGTGGTTGACTTAATTCATCAATCATTGTTTTTTTTTCGTTTTCATCGAAACTAAATTTAAAAAGAAAATAATACAAAAAAACAAAATTTCCTTTAATTTCATAATTTAAACCTTTCGAGATATTCAAAAAATAATCGTTGACATTGATCAGAGAGAACATCACGTACACGTGGATGTTGTGGTACTTGTTGAGCAATATCCATTTTAGTTTTCGATTATCTGAAACAAACAGAAAAACTTATTTAAAAAATATACGATGTAATGTTTCAAGCCCAATAAACAGTATTTGATCAAGTTCAATTATATTTAACATTTGAAAAAAAAAAATTTCTTGAATATTTAAAAACAATTCTTTTTACCCATCTATTTTACTTTTAAACATATATAGTGTGTTTGATGATGTTTAATTGTTTAAAATAGATGAAATGACGATATTGTTTAGATGTATGTGTATACCGGCTTTTGTTCGTTTCCCGGTGTTCTTTGTTTAACATAAATTTGAATTTGAATTGGTTGATTGAATCAAAGATGTCGTTAAATTTAAAATAAAATAAAGTAATAACCTTCTGTTGCGATAGAAACGAAAAGTTAAAAATGATGGCTTTTAATTTTTCTCTTTTCAATTGAACTAATTAAAATAAAATGACAACAAGTGAAGATAAATTGGAAATTGAGGTAATATTAAATAAATAATTATGTATTTGGAATTATTTTATGATTTTTTTCTTTGAATAGACTGAATTGTCGGAAGACAAACAGATTTTATTACAGAAATTATCAACGATATTTGATCCTGAAACAGCGATTGATTTCGTTTGTCCAAAGACACAGGAGACAAAACAACTTGTTACTATTGAAGAATTAAAACATGGTAAATTTCATATTTATTATTATTTGATTGTGTAATGAAATAAATTAAATTAGTACTTGTTTCATCTGGAAGAAAAAATCCATCGAATGTAATCAAAGACTTCTATTAATATTTTTTTGAGATGAAAATCATTAAAATGTTTTTTCAAAATTGAATTATGTTTAATGTACTTTTTAAAGGTCTGGGAAAATTCTAGGCCCAAAGAATGATCATAGGACGTGTATCAACTTATGGGCCAAGTATTCCAAAGAATCTGAATCTAATTTTATTGATTTGAAAATCGCGTTAAGTTAGCTTATTAGAAATAGTATATTTTTTTTTTGCAAAAGTACACAGATAATAAGAAGAATGCGAAACTCTCTTTGAAAACTAGTATTTTATCTGTAAGTCTTTCCTAGATATTCCAATATTTTACTATCGATCAATGCCAAATTCCTCCCCAATCGGATCATATTATTACAAGTAATGATTTGCTCAGTCACGTGAAATTAGAGCTCCCAATGGGGCATCAGCAAAGGCTTTTTTTAAATAGAATATGCTACTTCTGATGATATCATTTTCAACTTGAAATTCAAGGTCTAATGAAGCATTTTTTGCTTTGACAACTATACTTGTAAGCCAATTTGAGTATTTGTTGACTAATATTTGCATGTTTTCGAACAAACGAATCCGTGTTTGGCTTCAAACAAATGTTATATTTGGAATCAGCACAAAAAAAAACTCAGTTGACTATATATATGTATCATATTATTATTGCGACTTTTTTTCTGCGGTTAATTTTCCACCCCTGGTACCCCCCCCCCCCCCCCCACCGGCGGGACCACGGAGAAAGANNNNCCCAGTTGCTTATTTATTGTATTCATTTTTTTTTTGCGCTTTTTTTTCGGCGGTTATTTTCCCCCCCCGGGTCCCCCCCCCCCCCTCTAAGGGATGCAACATGGAAAAATGAGCTTCATCTAGACAATCGTTTTGGCAGCGGTAATGCAGTCCTGGACTTGTAAAATGTCATTTCAGGACAAAATCAGAGATTGCTAGATATTCAAATAGTTGCTTTAATGAAGTTCATTTTTCATGTATTTTTAGTGGAGATCATAGGTCAGAATTTGATGAAAGAAAAGTCACAGACATAATTTGATACGTACACATGTCGACTCAGATTTTTGTACTGATTTCAAATATAACATTTGTTTGAAGCCAAACATCCTTTATTCTCTTTGAAAATAGACGAATATAAGTAAAGAAAGACACACAATTTGACTAACAAGTATAGTTGTTTGAGTAAACAATCTTTACTAGACAGTGAATTACATATTTGGGATAAAAATTTTGCTTATACATTAATAAAAACTATAACTTCATAAGACTGAACTAATTATTATGTAGAATAACATAACCGTTCTATACATAATTGTTCACTACGTTGTGGGCGATACTAAATCTTATAATACTCTTATATATATAATTGAATTCGTCATATATGCATAGTATTATATTTCGAAAACTAGTGTTTACAGTCTTCAGGAAATGTTATGATTATTAGGTTACCTTGACTCAAGAACTATTTAATTCAAGGAGGCTTTCTATTCTGTTATGATAATTTTCCGAGAGAAGAAAATATAAAGACAAAAGATATAGTTGACCTTGGAAATCTCAAGAAAACAAGTACCGTGATTATTAGTACTACAAGAAAAAAAAGAAACTAAGGAACTTTTAAGAGTTATTCAAGGAAAAATATAAAGAATGATCTAGAAATCCTCATTCGTTTTGTATAAGTGTCTTTATAGTGAAAAGTCTAGAAATATCTATCATATTTTACAATGTAATCATAAACTGACTGTGACATTCATTCACGTTGGAATACACATTGAAATTATTTTACGATCAACTGGATATTCGATTCGTTAACTGATTAGTTTTCTTCTTAAAGGAAAGAATCTTTCTGATGAAGTAGTAAAAAAAAGGGGTCAAAGCTCATGAAAAAACAATTTTTCAATTCCAATATGAAATTTTTTCTTTTTAAATATACAACATCGGTTATATCCATAGAGATGACGAGATATTTAATTGATCATTAAATAATTTCAAGATGACTTTGCAATGCTAATGAATGTTATATTCAGTCGATTTTTTAACTTTTAACGAGTAAAATATTAATAATTAATTTACTTTTAAAATATGATAGACATTTCTAGACTGTTAACTTTCGTATTAAATGAACTAGAGAGAGTAATTTCTAAAACATTTTGAACAGCATATTTGACTAATTTTTTTCCTTTATAAAGATATTTCTACGAATATGTTTATTATACACAATGAATGAGTACTTCTGCACCAATCTCTATCGATAATAAACAGTATCAAAACAAAACTCTACCCATTATTATATTCATTGAGACAACCAAAATTGGTATTGTATACTATCGTTTCATATAATTCTCGAACTTAAATAGATGTGAATTGATGTTTGTTGGACACTGTATTACGATCGGATACTTGATTTTCAAACTGTTATTAAGTGTGTATGATATGATGAAATCCCACCCAAACATAAATTTACAGCTATTTGCAACCGCAAACTATAAGAAACAACCGTATACAGTACTGATTTTTGTCCGTCTCGGCGACTGTAATCATCGCCTTGAGCAGTTGATAACAGTCGTTAAACAGCCTGAAAATCAAGTATCCGAGCGTTTATAATAAAGTGAAATATGATCGTTTATGACTGTGCTTATTTGATCTGCATTTCAATAAGAGTTCATAAATCAAAATAAATGAATTCTATGTTATTACAAAAGTGTCACGTATATTGTGTAGCTTTTTTTGTTTTTGTTTTATAGGAGATATCTTTCAATAAACTTTATATGAATATATTTAGTCTTGAAGTTAATTCTTAGTTCTTTACTGAGTTTTAGTATTTTCAAATTTTTCTTTTTAAAGATATGATATATTTAGATAGAATGTTTGCATTAATTAGTATTTATTTTTTTGATTTATTAAAAAAAAAAAAGTTCGAAATTATTCTGTCAATCATTCATTATCGGAGTCTAAATACAAACGTGACATTAGCAATTTATTTATAATATTTGAACGACAAAATGAACAGGTGGTATGTCTCAAAATTGTCGGTTTTAGAATTTAATAATATTGAGATTAATGTAAAGATGTGTGTTATAAACAAGAAATTTCATAAGTTTGAATGCAATAATATATATATACAAATGAAAATATAAAATGTTGTATTTTTTATTGTTCTTTTGTTTTCATTTGTATTATACTGAAATCTTGATAATATTATAATGGACTTTGATTTTCTACAATGAGAAAAATTTTTTTTCATCAATTTGATGTAAAGTACTTGTCAAAGTTGTTCTTTTTATTCTAAAAAGTGTTTTTCTTCTGCACTATTAACTAAAATAAGATTTACTTGATATTTATTAATGAAAAAAAAGAAAGGAAATAACAATAAGAATATTTCATAGAAATATGAATTAGTAGTTTTCTTTAGATTCGATGTTTTTTTCTTTTTCTATGTCTATTAGCTTTCTATTTTTTTTTTTTTTTTCGAATAAATGTAAGAATTTTTTTATATAATGATTGATTTAACCAGAATTCGCATCATTTATCAGAATTACGAGCGGATATCCTGTTTTTTCGCTTCGATAATAATAATACTCTGAACTTTGATTTAATCCAACAAATGAAAATATTTTCGAAAGATTTCTCATGATATAACAATTTTATTAATGAGCATTTTTGTAATAATAAAAGGCTATATTCAATTCTGCATGAGTGAAAATAGAAATACATTACTTGCCTTTGGCTTTAGGCTAATGTATACAAAAACAAATATATATATATATATATATAAGATTTCATCGACATATATGTATGAAAAATAAATCTTTGGCAGAAACCAAGGAGAAAGAAAATATTTTATTCATAGGAAAAGAATTTCTACAAGAAAAAATAAAAAATTTCTTATTTAATTCATCGATTTCAATCTTTGTTGAAGAAATTTAACTAATAATGTATGTAGTATCTAACTTGTATTCATCTAATTGATAATTTCTATTATTTTAATCTTGTGCTGCTTGATTTTAACCTTATATTGCAGTTAATTATGAACAACCTGATGAACGTTTACAGCGACTGCGTTCGATGGAACATTATCAGACCACAACGCAGTCGCTATCTCGAATCGATCTTGAAGTATGCAGATTGCTTAGATCACTTATTCTTTTACTTAACATGCACGACTTGATTTTATTTTCACAAAGATATACTTTGCATGAAATATTTGTCTTATTTAGGCTTCCTATCAAGCATTTGTTCGAGGTCAAGTTGGTCAACAACAATATTCTCGTGATGAAGTTGAACAATTTGTACGAAATAGTTCTGATATAGATGCAGCTGAACGTTATTTCGATTCAGGACATGATATCATAGGAAATTCTCTTCAGGTAACTTTTTATTTTTTAAATATATTTTCATTTATTAATAAAAAGAAAAAAAAAAAAAAAGAAGAAAATATCAATTTGCCTTGAGAAATTCTCTCAAGCAAACAATTGATTTATAATAAAAACAAAAACAAAGTTATAATTATTACTTTAGTCTCATTTATTATTTCATTCATCAAAACTTAATGAACAACGAGCAAATTTATTAAAATCAAGACGTTCTAATAGAAGTTTAAAACAATTAAATGATAATTTTAGTTTACAACAATTTTTTCCAGAACAATTTACTGTAAATATTTATTTTATTTAATGCAATTCTTAATAAATAAATAATGCGTTTTTTTTTTTCTTTTTCTTCAAGACTCATTTACAATATCCATTTAAACAAAAGGAAATATTTGATAATAAACAAACGAAATTTTCTCGTCCACATTCAATGCATGTTGAACATAAAGAAAAAAAATATTGTATTAAATTTATAAAAGATTCAAATAATCTTCCATATCTTCCTAAACCTTCACATCGTTCAACAAATAATCGTCGTTTATTTATCGTAGAAAAAAAGAATATTGAATCATTATTTGATGCAGAAATTTCAACAGAACACGGTCTTTCAACAACATCAAATACATCAAATATACATCGTGAAAGTAAGATTTATTATTTTTTGGAATATATTTAATATTTTGATTGTTTTTGTTTTAGCCTTTCCACCACTATCCCTATCTGCTTTAAGAGAATATCGACCAACTTTAACACCGAAATCAGCAGCAACATCAAAAACTGATACTCAACAACAAAAACAACATCGAAAAACACTGCAAAAAACAGATTTTATATGGGAACAATCTATTGTTTCACCAAGACATGAATGATAGTTTTTTGTTTTCTTTTTGTGTGTGTGTGTGTGTGTCTACTGTATGGAACACAGCTGGAATTTTCTATATACGCATGTCGGAACGGAAATGAAAAGGAAAACTAATAACAGATTACAACATCTCTTGTGTGCGCCTTCGATCTCCCATCGGCATCAAACCGTCGACAGTTTGTTATCGAACTAAAACCTTAAATGAAGAAGAGAATGTGGTTGGCATAGTCGGTGTCGGCGTTTTCTTTTCTAGTCATACGTCAAAAAATCGAAGAAAAAGAATGCTAGACAAATTTTGAGCTATGGATCTTGTTTGTTTCTCACATTTTATTCAAAATGACAAGGCAACGTCAGTCGACTTCTGTTCTGTCTTTTCTTTCTTCTTTTTTTGCTATTTCTCTCTCTCTCTCCCTCTCTCTCTCTCTCTCTCTCTGTGTCTCTCTCCAACTCTCTATCTCTCGTTTTTTTTCTTCTTTGTGTGTGTATTCGAGTCAGACTTCGTTCTACTAACAGAGTATGCCGACGCGTTTTTCCGCAAAGACAAAGCTTGAGGAAAAGAAGAAGAAAAAAGGAAAAGAGAAGCAGTGTCGTCTTCTCCGTCATTTCTAATTTCTCATGTCAATTTTCATTGCATGCAATAAAAAGAGGAAGAACCGACGCCGACGATAGATGAATGGTAAGATGTACGGACGAGAGAGATTTCCATGCCTTGCATAACTTACACGTAGTCAGGAAAAGCAAAAAGAAAAAAATAGAAAGAAAGAAAGAAAAGAATCGAGAGAAGAGCAAAAACGATTGCCAAAACCATAAACAACAACAACAAAAACTAGAAACTGATGAAGAGAAGAAAAAAAAGAATGATAGTTAGAACTGCCATATTTTCTTTTTCTTTTTCCTTTCTGTTACTTGTGCTTCTTTATGGTAGCACCATCAGACTACGCTGCCATCTTGCGCACCATCAATACCATGTGGGTGTGTGTATATATATATATATATATATATATTAATATATGTGTTGACTTAGGAATATGAAATTAAGAAAAAATAACCGCAGTAAGTTCATCATAAATAATAACAATTTAAAAACATTTATCAAACATTTGATACGATACAATCGATATATCGAGAGTTTTTATGTTGGTATTATTAGAGATTTTAGATTGCATGTTACATCTCTATATAATTCTATGGAAACTTATAATAGTGATGTTTGAGATAAAGTCTATCTTGTCTAGCTGTATGTATGTAGGGCATCTTCCGCTTTTTCTTTTTCTTTTTCTTTTTACTTTTTTTTAGCGCAATTGCAATCAGCATCTTCTTCTACTCAGATGAATCGTCGTCTTTGCCATCACGACTAGATAGTTTTCTTTCCCTTTTTCTTCCCTTTTAATAGACTCCGACAGGTGAAATCACGCTCTTTGCTATAACTGTTTTGCCTGATTGAAATACTGAAGAAAGCAAAAAAGAAGAAAAAAAAAGGAAGAAGGAACGATAGAAGACAACAAAAGAAACGAAGTCTCTCCTCCCTACTAATTACTCGGTCCTTTCTTTTCCTCCTTCTGTAGCATTCGCTTGCTTGCCCATTTGTCTAATGAAAAAACAGCAAGAAAAACCGAAAAGAAAGAAAAAGAATGAACATTATTCGAGTAAGTAACATAGAACAAGTTTGTCACAGCATGTTTGTAAGTGATATTGATAAACAACTAAATTATATCGATAAAAAAGAAAAATTTTCATGTTTTAATTCGTATATTTATCGCGAATAGACCAATCAGATGATTTAATATTGCTAATAAAAGTAGTATTCTTGCTCATCTATTGTTTAAATGTCTAATAGAAAGTGTGTGTGTGTGTTGCTTCATAGAAATAAACACATATAATTCTCATTTCTAAAGGAAAAAGAAAAGACTCAAACAATTCTTGTTTTTTTTTTCTATTATTTCACATTAAATGCATAGAATAATTAAGTCTTAGAAGTTCAAATGATAAATAGTTTTCTAGTTTTAAATATAACTAATTTATGAAAATAGATTTTTGTCTATGTTCTGTGTCGTTTTTTTTTTTAACGATAATGACAATAATAGTTGTCATGCCTTATGATTGACGAGTAGGCTCGTACACTACTCATTTTTGTCTAGATTTCTTTTTACGATTTGAGATAATTGCTAACTAACTGCTAGAATTTTCGGATGGAACGAGATAATGTTAGTAGTGCATCATCATCTTTGCTTTTATTTTTTTTTCTTGTTCCTTCAAGCTTCTGTTCTCTCTCACTTTTGTGTATGTTTGTTCTATTCATGTCTATTGCTCATAGTATGACAATAAATGACGATGATGATGATTATGGTGCGAGGAACCTTCTTCCACTAACTAATCCCTTGAAGACACATAGGTAATATGAATCTAAAAAGAATTCTAACACAAGAGACATAAAAAAACTGATTGAAAATGCATTTCATATTAGATCTTATTTCTTATTTCTTTTTTAGATGATGATCAGTATCTGTCGACTATTGTCTTGATTCTATAGATAGATATATATCGGCACATACAAAATACAGCTTTCAATCATTCAAATTTGAGATCAACCTGTGTGCCGTTGTCTATTTCTTTTTTTTTCTTCTTTCTTCCGCTACATGGTAAGTCATGATAATGATGATGATGCGACAAAGAGGCAGTGAAAAAAAAATACGTAGTAGAATCTACAATAAGAAAATAACACGTCTGTAGTTAGTCAAAAGCATCTAGTTTTTTTTTTTTCTTCTTTATACATCAACTATTTGCATTTAATATACTGAAAACAGATCTACCAAAACAAGAAACTTTGCTTACGAAATAAAAAAAGATGTCCTTGCTAATAGGTCTGTTTTGTTCTTCTACTTCTAGACGCCTCAATGAGCGCTAACAATAAGCGAAGGCGATCGTCGTATTATGTTCGTCTTTTACAAGGAGACCTCTCAAACATTGAAGTACTCACCAATTAGGTATGTTATCAATTCCGTTTTCTTTTTCTTTTTTGTTGTTGTTGTTGTTATTGTACATATCATAATATGATATATGTACGAGTGTTCAGTTAGTATTTCGTTGATATGTAATATTCTATTTATTGAGAAAAAAAAAAATTTTTTTTTTTTTTTTTTCTTTTTCGTTTTAAATTAGAGATATAACAATTATCTTGTGTGAAATGTCACACCATGTTTCTTTTTTTTTGTGTAACATTAAAGTAAACTTACACTTCATATCCTCCATAAGCGTGTGTACACTTGCAGATGACGCGATTCGAAAATATGTGCGTGATTAAAAAGGATAGAAAAGAAAAAAACACAGAGAAAAGAGTAATCTAAAAAAGAAGTAAACTTGCAAGTCGTTAGGCCACATCAAAATATCTCTCTTAATGCGTTTTTTTTATTTATATACATCTAAGTGAACATCTTCATTTGAAAGGAGGTCATGCGTAGATCCTCTTTTCTCGCATTGGACACATAAGAAGAGCGGCAAAGAGAGAACGAGACAGAGGAAAAAAAGGCGAAGAGGCAATGAAAGAATATGAGATCTATGATGATGACGTTGATCACTCTTCTCATCCTATATACTAAAAAAGAAAAGATTACAATATGTGTGAAGTTATTATTTTTATGTTGTTTGGATTAGACTTATGTGCCATTTAGTTCAAATAATTTTTTCTTTTTCTTGTTTTTTGTATTGTTTTTTAGGAAAAATAGAAACGCATCAAGTTTATTATTAAGTACTTCATTAACAGCATCAGCAGCACAACATTGTCGCTGCTATACTCATTCATCTTCACCGCCCTATTCGGTGCTGATTTTTTCAGCTGCCGACATCCTTTTCCGGCTCATAGAGGGTTTTGTCGGTCAAGTCGAAGACGTGCAAAAGAATTGTTTCCGTCAAGTAAGAAACGACAATTGAAAGAAAATAATTATGAAATAAAAAAAAAAAGAAATTCCTTTTTTTTTAACAGATTATGAGCACACGCCAATCGAATCAAGAAAATTCATCTATTTTCGACAGTAATCGATCACGCCGTCAACAACCAACACCTTCAAATATACCTTCAAATCAACAACAAGAACCACTTAATTCTTCTCCATCTCATAGTGATCAAGCCTCAAAAGCCTGTTGTTTTTGTTGGTGTTGCTGTTGCTCCTGTTCGTGGTATGTATATTAGAAATATGTTCCCTTCTTTCATCCCATTATAAACGTAATACCCTGTTGATCATGCACATTATTTATATAAAAAAATAAAATACATGTATATATATATATATATTTGTATGTTGCGCTGCGCAGAAATTCCTAATCTTTTCTATGAGTAGTTTGTCTACCTATATTTTTCGGATCTATACATAATCGTCTTTGTTTTTTTCTTCTCTATCTGTCTTGCTTTAGACGTGGGTCTCCTCATCATCACATATTGACAGACAGCAGCATCATATTTATACATACAAAAATTGGTCCCCTACTCCTCTTCAGTCCTCCTGGTGAATTTGCGCGTTTGTAAGCGCGCATGTGCATGTGAAAAGAACATGATTAAAAATTCCAAGTTTCACCCATTCGGTTCCATACGACGTCGTCAAAAGTATGTGCTTTTTTTATTCGTTCTTATTAACTTTAACTCTTCACTGAATATTTTATTTGATGCTGCTCTTTTTTTTTTCGTTTTGCGAAAAACACTGTGAGGAGACCCACGCTTGCCAAATATCATTTCCGTTTCGGAAAGATAAGAATAATAGTTAGTTTACTTTCATTATCATTGTTGTTGTCGAACGACTTTTTTTTTTCTTGCTTTTTCGAAAGTCAAATACAGATGCATACTTGATCATAGAGTATAAACTCTAATTTCATTTCTATTGGGAAACGATGTAAAAGTGGCTCGCCGCTGTGTTCAATAATCTGATAATGAAGCAACTACACATCGCGACCTCTTTAGCACTGAGATTTCTTCGTCTTTTTCTTTTTCTCTTGTCATGTAGCTATCAATTTGTCGGCCGAAAACGAAACGCTTTTTCTTCTCCTTTTTTTTTTACCCATTCTTAATCGGATTAAGGATATAACTACCCTTTCTATTTTTTTTTCTTTTTACCCAGTCTTTTTTTTCTCGACTTGCACTGATGATGGTGTTTCGCTTATGTTAGAAAAAAAAAAAAGGAAAAAAGTGTTCAATGTCGTCGTCTCGTATCCTCGTCTTGTCGTCGGTTTTTTTTTCATTCCAGCCTTGTTATTAGCTAAATCATGTTAGTAAGCAAGAAGAAACACAAGCGGACGAGTACGAGCGCGCGCTCGCAAAAAAAAACCGGTTGGGCCTACGCTTGTCTCGTTCGTCGGGCCTGTCTTTGATGTGATGTTCTCGTTGATGGCGAAAGACTAAGCAAAAAAATTGAGAAAGAAAAAAAAGAACATGTCACTCTCGTTTTGTGTTGTTTCTGACGGTAGCAGTAAGCATGATGATCGTGTTGAAGCTTTGACTATTACTATCGTCATCATCTCAACATTGCCGAGTGCGCGCGTTAAAAAAAAAAGAAGAAGAAGAAGAAGAAGAAAGAGAAGAATTAATAATAACTTTTTCCTTGTCGACGGCAACGATGGTCCATGGAATCCGAGCGGCATCCGCCGTCATCATCATCATCATCATCGTTGTTGTCGCATCATCATGACTTTTCAAGTCTGGTCTCGTGGCCACATCATTGGCAGCCGGAATCGTTTGAAATAACAACGAACAATACCTCTACTATTGATTCTCAAATGACTCAAGTTGTGCCTGAACACGTGGCTCGTGCCAAAGTTGTTAGTGGAAATAATAATTCTCGAAAAGACAATAGTACAACACAAAAAAGTCGTTCACAACGTTCAAATTCTGCTACATTAAGTGCGATATCCGTTACATGTGATACAGATACTTCAACTCGATCACGTAATAATCGTCCTCAACAAACTTCAACAAAAAAATCTACTCTTATGTTTACAGCAACAAATAATATAGCTGCATCTCGTTCAACATCAGCATTAACAAATGTTTCTGTTATAACTCCAAATTCATTTAATAATCATCAACAACAACGTAAAACATCTATGTCAACAGCATGTGAAATAAATATTATACATGATAAATCAAATATAGTTTCATCAGCATCAACTATGTCAATACCAAATAAACATTTGATTAAAACAACAACTGGTGCTGTTGGAGGAACACTACCATCGGTTAAAAGTCTATCTATAAAACATAAATCAACTTCATTTGATGATCATCGATCAACACGTGGAATTGGAAAAAGTGTTCTCGAACATCTTGTCTTTGTTTTTCCGGAAAATGTTCGAAGAATACTAGCAGGGCCAAAAAAGTAACCAGCAAATAGAAAGTTCTTCGTCTTAGACGTTGTCGTTTTCTTCTTCTTTTTTTTTCTTTTTCTTTTCCCCATCTAAACATTGATTATTAAATATATATATATATATATATTGATTTATTGCTTGTTTTTTTTCTGTTCTAGTTTAACCGTGCGCACCGACGAAGGCCGTCAACCTGTTGAACCTATTGATTTAGGAGAACCGTAAGAATCGTGTGCTTGTTTTTTTTTTTTTTTTGAATTAAATAAATTATTGTTGATTTTTGAAATATTTAGACCATCGATCGACGAAGTAAAAAGTTGGTCAGAATCATTTGACAAATTAATGATGAGTCCCGGTAAGTAATACAATGATAGATGAAAAGTCTAATTGGTTGTTTTATTGAATTGAAAGAATTGTGATGAAATAAATTAACAAATAACTTGTTCGGAGATATCTCGAAGTCGCTAAGATTGACGCAGGCGGACAGGAGGGAAGAGGAGCGAACACTCTAATCTTCTTTAAGAATTGACGTGCTAATCTTATTTATACTTCATATTGAAGAAGAATTAATTTTTGAATGTGTTTTTTTTTTTTTTTGTGTTTTAGCTGGTCGTCATTATTTTCGAGAATTCCTAAGATCAGAATATAGTGAAGAAAACTTTTTATTTTGGATGTCTTGTGAATCTCTAAAAAACGAGCAAAATCCTGATATAATAGAAGAAAAAGCAAGATTAATTTATGAAGACTATATATCTATTTTATCTCCGAAAGAGGTAAGAATAAGACAAAATAAATTATTTTTATTATTATATTATGACATGTTTATTTTCTTTTTTTTTTTCAGGTAAGTTTAGACAGTCGTGTGCGCGAAGTAATTAATAAAAATATGGTTGAACCATCTCCGCATACATTCGATGAAGCCCAATTACAAATTTATACATTAATGCATCGAGATTCTTATCCACGTTTTATCAATTCACATATGTACCGGCGATTATTACGTAATGAAGACGTTAAAACTTGACTTTCAACATCATCATCAACCCGGTTTTCCTGAATATTCTAATTTAAATTGTTTTCAAGTTTTCTTCTTTTTTTTTTTTTTTTTTCTTTTTTTGTTTATTTGTTTCAATCCTAAAACATTTTTTGTCTTCACGACACATTCCACAGTGTGGACGCACCATTGTCGCGTGTAAGCGCTGACGACATAGAACCAAACGAAGTCTTATTCTACAAAGAGAAAAATCAAATATCAGATGCCCACTATATCATCGCCGCTATTGAATCAAAGTATTTCTATATATGTATATTTTTCTACAAAATATTTCGTCATTGCCTAGATATATAATTTTTTTTTCATGCGCGCGCGACATTCGATTCCCCGTCTCTCAACTGTGATGAATTCATCTTTTTTTTTTCTCGTGTCTTTTGTTGTGTATGTATGTGTATGCGCATTTTTTTTTTCTTCTTCATCTTTTTCTTAGTCGTCTCCGTCTGCATTTAAACGAACAGTGACATTGAATGCTGCATGTATGTGTTTGTTTGTTGCTTAAAAACGCAAAAGATATCTTTGAAGATCTTAGATTGATGGCATTCATGTTCTTTCTTGTTTTCTTTTTTTTGTATAGCTGATTGTTGTTCTTCTTTCTTTCTGTCTTTCTTTTCTACATCACTGTGTTGACTTCTATTGTCAAAAACCAAATTTTGGGACAGTATACAAGAAAAAAAAAAAGAAAATATGACAAATAATTTGTCAAGTTTTGATACTACTTATAGATGGATCAGATAAAAATAGAAAAAAAAAAAAAGAGAACATATATATATATATTTGTCGGTTATTGATCTGACAATATTGCAACTGACGTCGATCCAGGTCTATCTAAGTAATATTATCCTTTTTTAAAAATATCATAAGAAAATTATAAGTAGTTTCTTACCTAACTAATATAAAAGTAATCGGATACTTTGTATTATCTAGAATCTAAATATAAAATTCTATTAATAATAAGAATATTTTTTGATAAATGTAATGAATCATTAAATCTAGATCATAAAATGTTTATTATTGCGTATTATATTGATAGTTTATTTGTTAATAAAAAACTTCTCTTGTCTTAATTGACTTCTATTTACTCGTTGCCTTTTTTTTTTTTTTTAGTAATAAGCAAGAAAAAGAAAACAGAAAATATGTAAATAGAGAAATCATATTATATGCGATATGTGAGTTCGAACATTTTATTCCCTTGTAGTTATGTCTTATCAAACTGAAGACTTATATTTAACAGTGTCATTGCGACCTTGTCAGGTACTTTCATTATTCCAAAAATAATTATCCGTTATTATCTAAGATCGAAGTCTAGCATCCGTGCTCGTGTATTGAATTCAGATTCTTTCGTAAAGAATTTTTTTGCATAATTTAAGATGATTTGTATCAAGGTATGAGTAGCAACTCTTATCCTTCGCGTTCTTACTCTTGAGTAAGATAATATTACCTGAATGAATGTTCATTGATTGATAAAATTCCTTTGCTAAGATGAAGTTAATTAAGTATAAGATATGTAAATGCATATTCGATAATACCTAATCAAAAGTATTTCCATCAATTTCATGTTAGAGATTTTATTCTCAATCAAACAATATTAATACTGAAGATATATTTATGCTTTCATTCAAGAGTTTCATCTATGCATTTATTTATTTATTTATCACTGAATACAAGAAAAGAAAATATTCATATCTGACATCTAATATATATGTTGATTTAAAATGAAGAAGAATTAAAGACTAGATCATTTTTGCTTGAAAGAAAAATGATTATTTTGATTGTTTATTTATTATCATTGTTGATTGAAAATATTTTGGATCAATTGAACAACTTAAATTTCAAAGATAAACAAAAATAATAATAATAATAATAATATCAAGAATTAAAATAGATCACTAACTTTTCTTTATCGAGATTAAATCGAACACTACGACGTGGAATTGATAATGTTGGTAATGTTTGTATACCAACATCAATTTTTTCATTATCATTAAGCTGAAAACAAGAAAAGAAAAAAAAATTTCAATTTAATATCACTTCAAGTACTTCATTAAGCATTCATAGATTCCAGAGAATAGAATCTTCAAATAAAATTAATAGGAATAATTAGTTTAAATTCAAAATTGGACAAAAACTTATATTAAATTTCATAAAATAATAGTCAAAATCGCATAAATTTATGATTTACTAATTTAATTACATAAGATAAAAACATGAAGTATATTTAACTCTTATCAAAAACTTAAATACATTACCATTTTCGTGTTATTCTTTGTACTCTATCTTCTCAAATATATCTACAAAATTATTTCTCATGATCAAATATATAATTTATAATGGATAAAATTTCATGACAAAGACTTGTTCAATAGAATTGAAAAGAACCTTTATTGTTTTACTGAATAGAAAGAATTGAATTCAGAGTACTAGACAATATAGGTCAATGATAATGATGTCACAAGATAATTTAAATAGAATTCGATACCTTAGGATGAAATTATATTCATCAGTCGCTCTATTGAATAATTCCTGAATATATCAATTCAATTATTTAAAAAGTATCTATCTTATATATGGAAACTCACATTGAATGAAAATTGTAAATTTTTTACTGTATAATCATCAATTAATTGTTTCTTTTCATGCATTAATTGTTTTATTCTATCATTGAGATGAGCAATATGTAATTGATATTTACGAAGTGTATCATCTTTTGCTAATAATGTTTTTGTTTTATCAGATAACTAAAATAAAACAAAATGAAATGAAATATTATTTTATTTTTTTTGTTTTAGAAAAAAATAAATTACTTTTTCTTGACAAATTTTTAAATGTTGTTGTAATTTTCTTATTAATTCACTACCTTCATTTAATCGAATACTTGCATCATTAGCAAGTATTTGAAGTTTTTCTAATTTTTCTTCATATTCTTTTATTTTTTTAAATTTTTGTTCTTTATTTTGAGTTATTTTTAATCGTAATTCATGATTTTCTTTACGTAATGTAATTAATTGTTCATGTTGAAGATTATATAATGTTTGATAATGTTCTTGAAGATTATTTAATTTTTGTAAATTATTTTCAGTCATATCTAGAAGCAGAAGAAAAAAAAAACCATACTTCAACCAATAGAATGTCTTTTGTTTTAACAATCGAATTCAAAACATTCAATTATCTTATTGTTTAAGTTTAGGGAAAATAAAAATCTTGATCAGTTCCATTATTCATTATGGATACCAATTAACATGGTGCACGTCTAATAATTTCGTCACCATCGTTCATCATTTTGATTGGAGAAATTTAATGAGAGAAAAAAAAAATAAGTAGACATTTCTCTAACTTGTGTATATACATAGATGAAGTGTATAAATGAATATTTCATTCGTTAAGTGAAGAGAGCAAAAAAATAGAATCATGATTTTTACATCTTACTATAATCAACAAAACTTAAATGAAGTAAAGGTAAGATAATTCAAATAATACAGATCTACTGGATATGCAAAGATTTTAGTTACATCTATTATGACATTCTGCGTAACGATCAGTATACTCTTTGATGATCGAACTTATTGGCGATATTTGCAAGTGATACATGTAGTATGTGCATATAAATAGATAAATATCCGGAAAGAGTAAATGTAAGCAATCGTTACCGAAACGAAACTCACAAAGACATTGAAACAATTAAGAATGTTTAGTTTATAAAATTTGTCATGTATAAAATATAATATCGATTTTATTCTGTTTTTTTTTTCTGGTCATAGATAAAGATATACTCAACTCTTTTCTTCACTGTTCCATATGAACTGAATTCTATATTGTACTATTTGAGAAAAAAAGCAATACAAGTTATCATGCGAAATCAGAACACAAAAATATTCAATATTCTTTTTTTTTACAGTATAGTGTCACAGACCGTATATCCATAACGTTTCGTTATAATATATAAACTACTTTCTTATGGAATTTCTAGCGAACTGAATAAAAGCAATGTCCTCGTGATTAGCAACAGCAATCACTTTAAATCCTACATGGATTGTGCTAATAGAATATTTTCTTATTTAGAATGATATTATTACAGTTACCAATAATAGTACAGATCAAATACAACATTCAACAATAAAATCTAATAAACATTTGCCAGAAAAAGCTGTTTGTTTAATGAATGCATGGTTTACAGCACATGATGATAATCCATATCCAAATCGTAATGATTTAGATTATTTAGCAACTAATGGTGGAATTAAAGAATCACAAGTAAAAGCATGGTTTTCTAATAAACGTAATCGAACACAAAATACACATCCAAAACGTGCAAAACGTTATCTTGTACGAAATCAAACACAACTAAATTCAACATTATGGAATGAACCTCAAAAAATTCATTTAGCCGAAGAATTTGAACAACAGGCACTTTTATTACAACAACAACAACATTCGTATCCTAATTCTCAATTGCCATCAACATCTTCAACAAATTGGCCTTGGTTACCACCAACTTCTTATGATGATTATTATCATCATCATTAAAAAAGAAAACAGAGATATATAAATTTATTTGTATTTAATTTTCTTTGACAAAAGCACAAACAGATAAAATCTATAGTTAATTATGTTTAATAAAACTATTTGTGTGTGCCATTAAAATATTCTATTGTTTTGTTTCTCTATAGAAAAAAAAAGAAAAATTTGAATTGTTACTTTTTTCGAGTATTATCAGAATACAATCAACGAATCGAATGCATTTGTTGTATTGTTTAAACACGTCAAGTTACTTGGCCAGTTATAGACGAAAGCGCGAATTGATTCTGATTCATAGATGATGAAACATTTTGAATTTAGGTTAGACTCAGCAATCTTTATTAGGGGTCGCAGAATTGGGGTGAATTTTTTTAATGTGATTTGGATGAAGTATAGTTAGTGCATCTTGCTTCTTACTCACATTTTGCATAGTGAAAAGTTGATACGGTTCAAGAAAAAATTCATAACTTGCATAAAAATAAGGTGCACTTAAAGAAATACGCCAACCTTCATCTATATTTATTATTTCGATTAAATTTACTAAAAAACAGTGTAATGGTGAAGCAGTAGTGTTTACAAAAAGAAAGAAATCGCATTATAAGCTTGCTCGTCTTGTTGAAAATGTGTCTTAAGTATGTAAACTTAGTCATAGAAGTCGATGAAAGCTTTTGACAGCTTATCTATTTCGAATTTTTCGTGCGATTCTTCTTCTTCATTGATGACGAAGAAGTACTATTTCAAGTCATTGAAATTGTTGGGCCTTACATTTAATCATACGAAATTCAATGCTTCCTTAGAAATATTTTTTTAAGTCTCCTTTGCTACGAAAGTTTTACTATTTATCACCGAAGATGATGAAAAATTTTGACGTTTGTACAAGAATTTCAATGCACTGTAAGAATTCAAAAACACTTTGGCAACGAGTTTCTTATAAAAAGATACTAAAATCTTGTTTTTTTTTCTTCTTCATAAAAGTTTGAAATTGGGTGTATATGATGTAAAGAAAAATAACAGATTTCGTTAAGAGTCATAGAACTGAAGTCGGGTCAAAAAATTTGTGGACTCTGTCGAAACATACTTTGTCCGTTATTTTTTGTATTCGATGACTAGCACGTCCTACACATTTCTCAGATAACAAGAGCTCATTAGATCTAAAGTTTTCAGGCTCGAATCCAGTTGGATCCTAGACTGAGACCAAGATGATGGAACCACTGGTGACTTTTTTCCGATTTGAACGACATGGGTAGTAGTCGTTCGCGGCTCCATTGAACAACAAAAAGGCTCTAGGGTTCTATATGATTAGACAAAATTTTACTCGGCTTTATATTGTTCTACGAGGCTTTGAATATAGACATTTCATAGATTCTTGAGTATTTTCATATCTAAAGTTTCCTTGTTTTCTCTTAATATATACATAGACAATGGTATCACACGAGATACTAGCAGCATAAGAACAAATGAAGATAGATAATAGTACAAGTTAGAATCTATGCACAAGCTCTAAACATACATATATTTCCCGTTGTCGAAGGATTAATTTGATAGAATGAGAAACAAATGTTTGGTTGTACCATAGTCTACGACACCTGAATTTACAATAGACTTCAGTCTATTCAGCTTATGTGACTCCATTACCCATGACTCAATAACTAGATACGATTATTTATATGCGAAATATTTTATCTAATCAATAAATAGAGCCCATTCCGTTTCAGAAAAATGAAAATTGAATAAATTAGTCGAAAAGAATTAAAAGAATATATTCAGTTTATCCATCTAAATTACACATTATTTTGATTATTAAAACTTTTCATGATAAAATGATCTAAAAAAAAAGAATCACAGTGTTTATTCTGAATTGACATAAATATATATTAGAAAAATATCTTCTGCATAATATCTTATTAGTTAATTCAAAGATATATATCTACGATATTTTTCTGTTTTTTTAACTTTGGCTTAATAATTTTTGAAGAATTCTTTTACATTCAACATGATCACGAACTGTTGCATCCATTGGTTTACCAGTTTTTGGTGAAGAATGATATGTTTTAATCCAGTCAACAATAGCTGATCGTTCATATGTTTCACCATCACTAGCAATAACAGGATCGACAAAAAATTTGTGAGTTATAGGACACTTGAGAGCTCTCATAAATTGTTCGGTTAGTGAACTTGCCTCATCAGATGATGCTGGATTTGAATTAGTTGTTGGAGATTTCACATCTTTCGTCGAATCGTTATTCGATGAAGTTGAAGTCATAGATACTGTTGAACTTGAATTACTCAAAGAACTATTCTTATTTTTCGCTGAATATTCATTTGATGTAGTAGATAGTATTGGATCTATATCAGTCAAAGGATATTCACTAATAATCGATCTGTTTACTTCAACATGTTTAATTTGAGATGATATTGATAGTTGTTCTTGATATGGACATGTTGATTGACTATGATTTGTATTATTAATATTTAGTTGTTCAAATTGAAAATTATTATTTCGAAGAATGTCATTTACAATAGTACTAAATCCAATAGGAGATGGCATTGAATTGGGCATACCAATTGTTGATGATGAAGGAAGTGATTTAGTTGACGATAATGAACCTCCAACATTATCCTTTGTAGAATCATATGATGATCGATCATCTAATCGTTCTAAATTTTGTATTGATGCTGATAATGGTGGCTTTGGAGAAGTATTATTTTTTTGTTTTACTGATCTTGCTTCAAGTATAGAACACATATCATGTTTATTAAGTCTTTTAGCCAAAGCTAAAGGAGTTTCATCATCACTATTTAGTACATTTATTAAACAATTATAATTATCAAGTAATACTTGTAAAGTATGCGTATCACCATATTCAACAGCATAATGTATAAGAAAACGAGGTGAATATGGTGGTTTTTCATTGACTAATTTATTATCTTGTTCAAGTATCTCTATAACTTCACGCCAATTAGATTGTTTTGCTTGTTCCATTAATTTATCTTGTAAAAATAAATGTTCAATATATGTATACATTGCTGGATGATTGTTTTTTTGTTCTTTAGCAATATCAAGAAAAGTTTTGTTATCTCTTGTTTTAATATGAATATCAATATGTTGATCAGAAAAAATAGTCATAAAACGTTTGAAAAGATCAACATTACCATGATGAACCATTTGATGAGCAATAGAATATCTACGTTCAGGGGATATGACAAAAAAATCTGTTGGATTTAAGAATATATATTGATAAACTTTCTCCCATTCACAATTTGAACGTGCCCAATTAGTGGCTTTTTCAAGTGATAATGATATTTCTTCAGTAGTCTTACCACATGATGCCATGATGATTTTTTTCTTTTAAATCTAGAATAAAATTGATTAAATTAATCTTTTTAATTTATAATAAAAAGTAAACATACGAGAAAATCTCTTTTTTAATTGATCAATCAGTTTTTCATCGAAAGCTAATAAATTATAGGATTATCAATCATGCGAATTTTGCATATGACAATAAGAACTTGTTTAGATATTTAAATTATGATTTTTTTGGATAACCAGAATATAAAAATCTAAAAGGATTTCTTATGACCATATTCGTAATTAATATAATCGATAAACAAAAATCCATTAGTTTTCGATGAGAAACTGATTCATCAGTCGAGAACATTCTTTCGATAGGTGAATTAAACAGTTGGCTTCTTCTGATTTTAATGACCTTTTGTTTATGTGGATACTACATACTGTTCTAATAAAAACACTAAAACGATTTGGGTTTCTATTGAGATTTGACTAATCTATGGATTTTTTAAAATGTAAGTTTTCTAAAGGTTTCAAGTAGATGAAAACGACCTGATTAGATTAGATCGAATCGAACCGGTTGGTCTATTGATAATAACTGGCTTGCAAATTGCTGACGAGTCGCCGGCACACTGCACTGACGAGTTGTCGTACTACTTCATTTGTGGATAGTGATTTTTTTAACATAGTCCACGTATACAATATGATATCTTAGAAGGTTTCATATCTCGAAGAGACTTTGTTTGAAACCTACGAATTATTTAATGGAAGCTAGTCTAATTGAGTTCTCTATATGCGCAAAGTTTCAGAAGAAAATTCGAAAATATGAAATTTTTCGAAAACCTTGGCACCTCTAAAAAAAACTTCAGTAGCTTAATCAAGTCTTGACAGAAATTCAGTTTTTATTAGAATACTATGTAGTATCTATAGGCAGAAAAATCATTGAAAATGGAAAGCAATATCTCAGGCGATTTCTTTGTTTAGCGATCTGTTTTATACATAGGAAAATTCAAAATCGAAGTCTGTGATTATATTTGCAATATTCAGTTTTACTATATGAAATACTTTATTCATCAAATGTTTTTAATAAATCTAAAACGTTCTGCCGTATTTAGTTAAGAATATGTTTTATAGACTGATTGATTAACTTATTGTAATTGTTTTGTGTAAAAATGAACGTTTATCATAATATAAAATAATAGTATGTTTGTGTTGGAAAGATATATTCGTTTCTGGTTTTTGTTTTTAGCTATAGAGCTGAGATCTGACGAGTAAACGATTTTATTCAAGAATTCAATTTTGAAATAATCTCATGTTTCAATTGCACTTCAACTTTTTTCATTATAATCTTGATTCGTTTCTATGTTACATTTTTGTTGTACAAAAAATATATTACTTGTATATAAAATACTAGATCATATTTAGAGCATGTCAAATTGGTTTCAGTCCCAGTCAGTTCTGAATTATACTCTAAAAGTAACAGTCAATTATAATTTGTTTACTATAAGAGTACCGTGCTCATGTAGAGCCCTCCAGGATAAGATCACGCGATTCTTTACAGGATAGGTTACTGAAGTCATAACCTGCAATAGAAATGCAGCTGATATATTCTGAATTTCTCTCCTCTTTTTTTGACTCAAATACTGCACTTTTCTCAAGTTGAGCATTTCCTAGACTACTCTTCGGTGCTTTCAATATTAATAAGTCTGTATTGAAGAGGCTCTGCATATTACTTTGATTTACACTTGCCTTGGTCATAAGCATGCAGCAAAAATAGCAGGATTTTCTATGTAATAGAAGATCTATCAAAACATTTACTGTCTGAAAAAGAAAAGTAGTCAAGTCCACATGTTTTTCTAGAGTAAATATTGTTTTTGTTAGATTTTTGTACCCTAAATAAACATCTGTTCACTTGAAATAGGATCTTTATCTAGAAGTTGAATAGTATCTTATGTTCTTCTACGTAGTAAATCTTCTCTGATATTGATTACAGGACAATTGAACTTCTCAGGAAAAAATCTTTCATTTAAATATCGAAGAAATTTTCTGCAGCGTAGGGTCAGGTTAAGAAAATTTTTACAGGGCAGGTTACAGGTTATGAAAAATGCGTATCCTTGAGGCTTCTACGTTCATGTATAAGATGTGTTAGTATAGAATGAATCATTAATATCTTTGTGATAAAAATTTAATGATTTTCACTCTGCTCGAAGAGATATTGGACTGAATTTCTTATCAATGATACAGAAGTATTCAATGTTTTTCTTTTTTCATAAGAAAATCGTTAATAAACACTACTTTCAATTGCCGACATTCACTTCCATATNATGATAATATTTCAATTCTTTTTTTAAAAAAACTTCATCAATAAGACCTTGTTTATTATTAGGAATACGAATAACCTATAAACAAATATTATGACTTTCTAGATAAGAAATTTCAAAAAAAATCTACTTCAACTCCTGTTTCTACCCATGGTAAAATATTTGAATGATGTTCAAATGTACTAATAAAAACAACAGTTTTACTTCGAACTTCTTCATTTTTCAGCTGTAAAACATCGACAAGTTTATTAATAGCAGCTGTTGATCCTATTAAAATTGTCAATTATTTCTTTTAATATTTAACTGAATTAATAATTATTTATTTACCTGATCCAGTAAAAATAACAGCATCATCATCGATTGCATTAACATATCTTTTAATTAGTGCTCGTGCTCCTTCACGAAATTTCGTAGTCTGAATACCACATGCGTTATTATCACTGTGTGTATTAGCATAACTAAAAACAATATTATTTATAACTTTAGAACGAAAATTATTCTTACTAAGGAAGGACATGGTTCAGCATATAATGTTCGACAAATGTTAAACCACGTCCAGATGCTGTATAATCAGCATAAATCACTATAAGATAAAAATGTATTTGTTTATGATAATGAGAATAGAGATAATCGTACTTTTTCGAGATCCCCATGGAGTATTGACTCGAATATTTTTACCAATGATATTTGAATCAATATATTGGAGAAGTTGTGATTTATCTAAGTAGTGTATAATAAAAAGCTTATGTATGTGTTTTTTTAGAAATTATCATTTTAATAACGGCCCGTCATGTAAAGCAAAAAACATAGATGAAATGATCTGGACAAGACAGAAATTCTATTTAATCGAATTAGGATAAATAAAATATTGGTTCGTCTCTCAAATGAGCAACTTCAGTTGCAAATCTTTTAATATCGTACTCTAACTTTTGTTATAATAAAAGAAGAAATGAAAACTAACTATGATTAAATTGATTAATTTCGGGAAAGATTGAAGATATTGTAGTTACGTCTGATCTAAATAATGTAATTACTGGATCATCAAAAGACTCTGTATTTGTTGTCGTTGTTGTTTGATTGAAATGATTTACTGTTTGTGGATGACTTGATATATTAACTGAATGATGCGATGGTTCCATCGATGAATGATTCTATAAGAGACAAATGACTTTGAACACTATTTATTTAGATATTGTTTACTGATGTTTGTTGTTGATAATTTTCAGAAAGTGTTTCTTGTTCTGTCCAACGTTTATCCGATGATTTATATTGGAATCCTAAATCTCTTGAACTGATTCGAAGTAAAGTGGGTTTAATTGGTCGATCGTTCCTAATTTCTTCTGAATTAATCAAAGGAAAGACTTATGTCAGACAAATAAAGCAAAAGCTTTACCAGGGTTCGTCAAAAACGCTTTGGTAGAAAACTAATGAAAATAAAAAAGATACAATAAAAACTATTAAATGTTGGAATTTTGTTTAATTTCTTCATTTAAATATATGATTCACGTACATCGTCATTGCATCCATACATATTCAAAAAATTAATAACATTTTGTCGATCTTTCCAGTTACTAAATGGCTATAAATCATTAAAATAAGAATGAAATTTAGAATTGAAAATAAAAGTTTACTTGAAAACATCCAATTCTCTCATAATTTGACGAAGTCATTATAATTGTGATTGATACTAAAGAGAAAATAGCTTGTAGTATATGGGCACATTGCAGAAAGAAGAACTTATGATAATTTCCAACTAATGAGAAAAAAAAACTGTTGGATATTATGACAAGAAATGCGTACGATACAAGTGAACAAACAAGAATAGCTGAAGTAAGCATTGCACTGAGAAAAAAATTTGATTGATAATGATCACGAATAAGAAAGAAATAATAATGATATACCATTGCTGAATATGTGATGACTGATGATTCATCTAACTTAAACATCCTTAGCGCAAGACTAATGGCATCAAAAAAAGTTTTCTATCAATGCAATCAATTTTTCATCCAAACTGCCGATTACACTGGTTTATTCCTTGTCTTGACAAGTTCTTTTTTTTTTTTACTTTTCTATTAAATTAATATTTTCAATCTTGAAGAGGTGAATTACTACTCAGAAAAGTCGATTTTAATATCTTCTTGCTTTAAATGAGCAATGGTGTATGTAGCATCCTCGTTGTGTGCGCCTTGTTATCAAGAATGCACAGTACTAATAAAGTAGCAGTACTCACCACTATCTTTCCTAGCACAATAGAGGACATAGTGTTATAGTTTTGTCGATGGCTATTGTACTGATAATTTGCATTCTGGATAATACAGTTTATGTAGCGAGAAAGCCTCCTTTCACTGCTCACATAAAACAAGAGAAACATAGATGTTCTGGCTCCGCCGCTACAGTTTTCGTCTTCTAACTAATGAATATTACTGCAGCGTCATCTTAAATAAATAATCAAACGTGAAAACTAACGAGGGAAGGTCCACAAGTGTGAGTCTCCGTTTTGAATCGGGTATTAGTTTTTTTGTAGAGCTCAGTGAGTACAGTAACTACATATAAAGGATTCGTCCCATTGGTGAACATTTCAGGTACAACGAGGTTCCACACCTTCTGAAAAATTATCATAAGACTCTTAACTGAAGACCTGAATTTTAATATTGTAAGGACAAAACATAGTCTTGCTCGGGCCAATCTGGGATTATCAAGGATGCTCTTTCATATGACCCGAATAATAATGTGTTCCATCCTTATAATAGTAGAGTTCATTTTTTCTATAGCTCATAGAAAACAGCGTTTTCTATCAAACACCAAAAAAATTCACTTTACTACTATAAGGACAAAACACGGTGTTGTTCGGGCCATATGAAAGAGCATCCTTGATAACCTCAAATTGGCCCGAACAACACTATGTTTTGTCCTTACAATATTAAAATTCAGGCCTTCAGTTAAGAGTCTTATGATAATTTTTCAGAAGGTATGGAACCTCGTTGTACCTGAAAAGTTCACCGATGGGACGAATCCTTTATACGTAGTTACTGTACTCACTGAGCTTTACAAAATGGCAAATACCCGATGCAAAACGGAGACTCATACTTGGGGACCTTCCCTCGTAAGCGAAAACTTTTTATTTATTTACTATTGAATGATGAAAAAGTGAACAATAAGAAATAATTTTACATTGAATTATCACGAGTTGAATAATTTGTACAAGTTGAGACTTACCTTGTATTCATGAAGATTAATTTTAACAATGGAAACTCGTCCTACTTAGAAAAGTTGTTGTGTACTTGTCTACATTTGAATCATTATATTTATATATATATCATTTACTATAATCTATGCTTTATTCTTATTTGAAACACATTATTCAGAAAAAATTTCGGAAAATTCTCATAAACAATGGCCCCCAAAATGGTGCAATACGTGTTAATTGTTTAAACGTATCAGATGTAGCAAGTGTTCCATATTGAAAAAGTCGAATACGTTCACGATGAAATTTAGCACGTAATTCTTCATTATCTGTTAGAATAGCTAATTGAGCTTCAAGATCACGTTGAATTGAACGTGCACCTAAAATATAATAAAATCAAATTAATTTACAAAACAAACAAATAAACAAACCAAAATTTGGTGATCCAACACAAGTTAATATTGGATAATTATTATTATCATCTTTATCATCTTCATATAACCATAAACCTTTGGCATGATAAGTCCATTGTGGACGATAATATTCAAACATTTGTATTTGTCCATCATTGGAATATTTCTTTTCTGCTCTGTCAATAAATTCACGTTCATTTTCACTATAACCAATTGGTACATAACGACTTATACCACGACTACCATAAAATCCATTAGCTTGTGGTGATGCTGTTAATAAACTAATTGTTGTATCCTTACGTTTATTATCAATTAATTCTTTTTCATATTCTTCTGTTATATTAAAATAAGATGTAGCAAGATATAATTTAGATTTGAATGGTAAATGTGAATAAAGATATATATTAAAATCTCGATCATTATTTATATTAAATAATCCCATTTGTATTAATGGTACAACAAGTGCTTGATCATTTGATAATGATTCAGGTTTTGGATAACGTATTTGATATATTTTCATTAATGATGAAAGATTTTTTTCTACATCAAGACGATATTGAATATTATTACCTTTATATGGATGATTTTGACCCATAAAAATAGGTTCAACATGATTTTTTTCTATTTTAAATGATTGTTTTGCTATTGTTTCAATAATATCAATAAAAAATTTGCATAAATTTGAACAATTATTTAATTTTAAATAACGATCTTGTCGATTATTAAAATATGTTTTATTTAGATTAGCCCTAAAAACAAAACAAAATAATTATCATTTAATTAAGAAAAATTTCATTTTAAGAATGTAATATAATATGATTTTTACCCACTTATAATTAAATTATTATCAGCCATATAGATTTTCATATGTTGTACACCCCATGATTCATTAATTCGTATTGGTAATATTTTACGTAGAAAACCATAAAGTAATGGCGTATGAAAAAGATAAAAATCAACTTGTGATGAATATTGTTCAATTAAAGGTTGAAACATTGTTTTTGAAGTTGTTTTTTCTTTATGATTATCAATACGAAGGCCACGTAAATGATCCAGTAATACAACTAACCGTAGAGATGGATTTTTATCAAGTGCTGTTCGTATCGAATCAATCTAATCAAAGAATGAAGAATCATTTTTGACTCATTTTTTTTTTGTCTTTGACAAATTATATCTACCAATTTATATTCATACGGATCAGTACCAAAATATAATGATGATATGTAAATATGTTTTTTTGCATTAGCAAAAAGTTTATTTAATTCTTGAAAAAAGTCGCATGGTTCATAAAGAACATCAAAATTTGATGCCGGTATAATAAATGATGGTCCATAATTTGAAATCCAATCGAAATTCTTTAAAGACGAAGCAGAAGAAATATTCATCTGCAACCAAAAAAATAATATATATCTTGTTCATTGGTGTATAAATACATACAACAACCAGGTTGAGCATGCAGACACAAAAAAAAACAAATCAACAAAATACAAACCAAAAGCTCTTTAAGAACATAAGAAAGAATAAACAAACCAAAGTTTAGTCGGTTTTAGTTATTTATTTCATCAAAAGAAGTTTCATTTTAAATTGGTTGAATCTTGAAATGTAGACCAATAAGTGAAAAAACAATACATTTCAAATCTTGAACCAAATAATAAAAACAACGTAAACCATCGGGATCACGACTATTATTTATATCGATTAATGAACCAATTTTTGCTGTTGTAAATGAAATATGTTCATCACCAAGAACTATTTCCAATTCTTGTCGACCAGTACGATCTTGTGGTGGCCTAGAAATATATTCTAAGAGTCAATCGTGATTTATCATCATATATTAGGCAATAAAATACCGAAATATTTGGCATCTGTCTAACGAGGAAACGTTTTCAACTGATTAATCACTTTCTCACTGAAAATAAGTGGGTTATAAGCTATCAACCATGCTGAACTCGTCATAAGGAATCCTCTGAAGTCTTCGTATACTGGTTTTCTAGGTAAATAAACTTTTTGTCAGATCCATTTCAATGTGAAAGATCTTCAAAATTATATTATTTTACTTAGAACTCATTTCTTGAAAAACAGAAAAGATTATTCACTTATAGGTAATTCGATATGTTCTATAATTTGAATAGATCAAAAAAACGATTTTGAAATGTTTTGGAGCTCAGACTCTGTGCGTATGATAGTATTCATTGTAACTAAAAAGCTCGAGAATTTTCAAAAATCATTTATATCCCATAAAAGAATGTCATGCTTTTTGAAAACTCAATATCTGGTGAAGGAAACATTCTTTATAGCTGAAAATTTCAAGTCGAAATACTACCATTCAATTTGTTTCTGTGAACCATCTCACAGACTAAGATTCTAGTAAAATGGCTGTAACTCTGGAGAGAAGATATAAGAGCGCTTGTATTATTGGAGTTTTTCATAGCTCGCTAGGTTCTATTATATGTAAAAGGTTCAAACTCAAAATTCGGGTTTTTAGGTTCTAGAACCCTCTGAAAGTCTGTGACATTCTACTATATTTTGTAACATTTTTCTTGTTGATGGTCTTTTATTCTGGACGCGAAGTTAGCGAAAGTTCATTCTTTACATTAAAATGAGTTGTACACAGAAAAAAAATTATTTTTAAATCTCGAATAGATCGTTATTGATAGATTGTAAATAATTGAAAAATACTCACCAAACAGCATCATCTTCTTTCATAATATCTGTTTCATTAACAATACGTTTTAATTCTTCAATAATAGTTCGATTAACATAAACTTCTTTTCGAATTAAAGTATCTTTTTTATAATTCGAATTATTTGCATAACGTAATTTTCCATCAGGTCGAAATTCAAATTCAAGAAATTCATGTCCAAATTTTCCTTTATGACCAACATAATATCGTAAATAGAAATCATCATTAAGTTCAGTCATGATTTTATTTTTATTAGAAATCTAAAAAACAAAAAAAAACCAACGAAAAATTAACACTGTTATTTTAAACAGAAACATCCGTATCAAAAAGAACAAGTTTCCATTGTGAAGTTTTTGAAGTTAATGTCGGTGAAACACGATATTGATTCGATATAAGATCAAGATCTTTTTTAAATTTTTCTCGAATTTTTTTATTTATAACCATTACTTGAACATTTTCCTGCTGTTGTTGTTGATCAAGATTACTTAACCATATTGTTGTTAATTGTTTTTCAATTGAATTTATATATTCATTATATTTATTTTGTAATAATTCACCTTTTTGTTCATAATCTAATGAATTTTGATATGTACTTATTTGATAACATATTTTATTCATATGACGAATATCAAAATTTAATTTATCAAATTTTGTTATTAATAACCATAATTCACGTACTAATGCAAGATCTTCATGTTTTGAACCTTCTTTTAATTGTACTAATCGTTCTTGTTGTTGTGCAGCACGTCGTTGTGATTTTTTACTTGATGTTATTGAACCAGATTTTTTTGTTAAACGTGTTCGTATTGAACCACTATCATCATTATGTCGATTTGTACGTGTAATTAATGTTCGTCGATCATCATTGATTTGTTGATCATCATTATCTGATTGATCATCATTTTCATCAATATCATAATCTCGACCTGAATCAAGTATTTCTTTTATATATTGAAAAAGATTTGTTCGAAGAATTGAAAGACGTTTTGTATATGATTGAAATTTTTCATAATCATTATGAATTTGTCGTTGTATATCATCATGAAAACTATTAAATGTTGAAAGAAATTCATGTTCATATAAATCATGACGATCATTTAATGATGTTGAAAATAGACGAATAACATGAGACCATTCATGACCTTGTAAATAAGAAACAAGAGCTTCTTCATTATCATCAAGATAATTTTCATAGATTTGACCAGATTCAATATATAATGAATCATGACGAAATTGTTCAGCTAATGAACGATATTGGTCCATATTAATGTTGGGCTAGAAATACAGCTCGATGATAAACCAAGAATATTTTATAAGTCAGACAAAATAAAACTATTTAATATGGATTTTTTATTGATGACTATAATAGCGTTCTGTCTACTCCCGAATAAAGATCGAGTAGTTCTTGTACTTAGAATACAACATGTTCTATTTATAGTGGTGCAACTATGGGACTAAAGTTTTAGTACTTTTTACCGGGTAGTAGGACTTTTTGCGATTTCTTTTCTATGTATCTATAGTTCCAAAAATAAGATGGTGGAAAAAAGTTTAACAACATATTGTTGATTTTATTTTATAATGTTAAGCACCTAGCTCAAGCCTAAATAGTGATTTTAATAGCCAATAGGACAATGTCACGTTTCAGAAGCTATTTTTTAACAATTCTTAAATTCTAAACAAAATCAACGATCGCTGTATTTTCTATAAGTTTCCCTTACAAACTTAATAGTATAACAAAAACCTGTAGGAAAACGAAATTTATCACAAAATCGACTAAAAAAAAACGTTTATTTTCGGTTTTAGTGGTACTTTTAATTTTTTAAGAGAAGATTATCAGACTTTTTGAAAACCTTACCCAGAAGGTTGTAGCTGATGGTGAAATCTCTATTCCATTCACACCTAACCCTAAGGTAATGAAAGCTGGAAAAGCCGTTAATCGAATTATTTTCCTCATCAGTCCCTATTCGAAGATCTGTTTTGTTTCTGAATTATAATTTAAAATCTTACTTGTTTTATTTCTTTAGATATATTCGGTAATAATTTCAATGAATTTTGTACATCTTTTCCTTGTCTATAAGCTTTACTTGCTTGTTCATAAAATTTTCCTCGTTCATAAATAAGTGCAGCTTCAATATAATATTTTTTTGTCATTAAATAATCTCCATATAATTTAATAATTTGATTAATATATTCCATAGTTGATTGTATTTGTTGATTTGATAGAAATTTTTTTATAGCTAATTTATATAAACGATTATTTTCTAAAATATTAACAAATTCTTGAAATTTTTCATCATATTGATTTTGTTTTTTATTTAATAATTGTTCAATAAAATAATCACATGCATTTTCAATTGCTTTCTTATAACGTTTTAAACGACAATCAATTTTAAATTTTTGCCAATGATAATTATCTATTGAACGTAATTGATTTAATTCAGGTAAATATTCTTTTGGATCTTTTTGTGTTTTTTCACTTATCATTAAAACAAGATCAAAATTATATGTACCTAATGCAATATCATATAAACGATCAATATCAATAAAATATGTTAAATAACGTATAGCATTATCAAAATATTTTGGATGTTGATTTAAATATACTAAAGAACCTTCCATATTTGATGGTGATTGTTTTACATAAGTTGTTAATATGGAATTAATATGTTCTAATGAATTAGTTGTTGATAAAAGATATGAACGAAATTTTTCACATAATAAATTTGCTTTTGGATGCCATTGTTGAGTATCTGTTGAAGGATTTTTTTCTTGTTTTAATATATATTTCATATATTCATCTCGTGTATTTTTTTCATTATCAATTTCACTTAAAAATAAACATATATCATCATCATTACGTAAATTAGAAATAAATATTGGAATATAATCATAAAATTGTTTTGGTTTATAATCATAAAGAAAATTAAGATTAAGACGATTTTTACGCATTAATTCAAATGCACGTTTATAATTTATTGTTTCACTATCGATTAATTCCGAACAAATATATGTTAATAATAATGGTCGAGGATAAATTGTTTCAAGATTACCACGTGGCATTTGTAAAACAAGTTTTAAATCTGTATAAGCAGTACAAACGATGCGAGTACCACGTTCTTTAAAAAGAATAAATAAATAGATATGAAAATCTTTCTTATACAATGGTTTCAATTGTTATGATAAAAACTGACAAAAAGCAAAAACAATAGTCAGTTCATTATAAGTAAATGTCAAGAAAACTAGAAACGATCTGACAGAGAATTCCAATCGGATTAGGCTACAATTAGAAATATAAGTCGATATATTGATTGGAGGTGGCGGTTAAAAAATTTTCTTAGCTCTGAAGAGTCTTGAAATGAAAAAAGAAAGAAAACGATTCTCATCTATGGCGTGAAAGTCTTACGAGGAAAGGTCCCCAGGTGTTACGCTCCGTTTTGAATCGGACATATGCCAGTT